CAGGCGAGACCTCATCTCTACAATAAATAAAAAAAAAATTAGCTGGGCATGGTAGCATGCGCCTGTAGTTCCAGCTACTTGGAAGGCTGAGGCGGAAGGATTGCCGGGAGCCCTGCAAGTCAAGGCTGTGGTGGCCGGGAGCGGCCACTGCACTCCAGTCTGGGTGACAGAGTGAGACTCCAACTCAAACAAAAAAAAAAAAATGAAGGTCTATTATGTAAATATATGTTGAAATTTTGGTTTTCTGTATACTTTCACCTCTTACGGTATTTTACAGTTGCACATTAGTTGCCTTTTAAGTTTTATATAATTGTTGGGTACTAAATTTTGATAATCAAATTATACAGATGAGGTTATATATTATTAACTTATAACAAGCACATTAGTGAATATTTATTGATTCTCTACTGTGTGTAGTCACATGATCTGAACTTACTTAACTTAATGTTGCTAACACCCATGTAACTAATCAATATTCTTCATAAGATAATAAGAAATGTTAATCTTTCTAGTTGTATTCACTGGGAATGAGTTTTGGATTTCTTCTTTATTCCAGATCCCTTTAAGATGTACCATGATGATGGCCTGGCAGATATGGTCTTTTTCTCCAGTGGAGCAACTGATACTTCAGCATTTACAGGACAGAATGATCCCCTGACAGACTCTTATGGTATGGCATCTCCAACTGGATTTATTCTATAGAGAAGGAAAGAAATGTTTTCTTTCTACTCATCTTAGATTAATTGGCTAGGGCCTCTGTAACAAAAGATAGATTAAACTCAAGTTTAGCATGTGTATTAATGAGTAATACATTCAGGTACCTAGGGAATGAGAAATTCTCTAAGAAGTGGTTTTAGAAGTGCAGTTTTATATAGCATCTTTGACAAAGAAGGATACATTTTTCTGAGAAGTGACAAGATAAAGGAAAAAGATTTTGAATCTCTGAGGACTGCAAATTGTGGGAGGAACATTAATAGTAGATAAAGACTGGGGTCAAGCTTGTTATGTAGATTCCTTGTGGTGCCATTTCCAGGCTAATAATGGCCATCAGCTCAAAAATAATTCTTTTGCCAAAGTGGCGTATTTTGGGTTTACATATTCTGATCTTTTATTTTTCTTTTTGGAAGGAAGGGAAAGAGAGGGAGAGAGGACAGGGCAGGCAGAGAGAGAAAGTTCTGATCTCTTTTAATTTCTTAACTCCAGACAATCATTGGGGCCTTTCACCTGTCACCTTTGGAGTTAACCACTAAGTAAAGTCAGATTTAGGAGCTCTGGCTCTGATAAGGCTGTCTGGATTAATCGAAGGAGAAAATTTTCAGTTGGGCTGTTCAGGAACTACTACTGACCTCCCCTCATAGAAACTTGAGTCCTATAGGGTCAAATTCTGTGTCCGTTTTTTAATCGATCATGCCTTGGGCAAGTTATTTCCTCCCTAAACTTTGGTCTCTGTATCTATAAAATGGAGACAGCACTAGTTCCTACCATAAAGATCTGGTGATAATTAAATAAAATTATGTAACATACTTAGCTTAGTGTCTGGTGCACAGTAAACATTAAACAGATCATACTTATCCATAAATAGTAGTAGCCCTATTTCTGATTTGTATAGCTTTTAACATGAAAATGACCAGGATACCCATCATTAATAAGTCCCACTTCAACAGTGTTTATAATTTTGTGTTTGTAAAGATCCTTGCTAATGATATCTTTCATTTATGCTTTTCCTTGGACTGAAGATCTCTTGGAATAAGGATGTTAAATGAGTTGACTGTTGATGCTCTTCATCTGATCTCCTGATAATTTGATGTTGGCTTTGACTTCTTTCTGCTCACTAGCTAGTCACCTGGTTGTATTAACCATTTCCTTATAGCATCTTCTCTTCTATTTCTTCTGCTTTTCCCCAGCATTAGCCCTTATCTCTTTGTATCTAGACCACTTCAGAATCTCCTAATCAGGCTTCTGCTCCCTTTTCTAATCCATTCTGAATATACCTGCTATATTGATCATTCTGAATTCCTATTCTGTTTTGTTTTTGTTTTTGTTTTTGTTTTTTGCATTGGAGTCTCACTCTGTCACCCAGACTGGAGTGCAGTGGCCGCTTCTGGCCACTGCAGCCTCAACCTACTGTGCTCCGGCGATCCTTCCGCCTCAGTCTTCCGAGTAGCCAGAATTACAGGCACGCGCTACCACGCCCGGCTAATTTTTATTTTTATTGTAGAGATGAGGTCTCACCAAGTTGCCCAGGTGGGTCTCGAACCCATGGGCTCAGGCAATCCACTCAACTCAGCCTCCCAAGGCGCGGGATTACAGGCTGAGCCATGGAGCCTAGCCCTATTCTGTTTTGATCTTCTAATTTTTATGATTAAGACCATACGTATTTTTTTCTCTTTACATCTAAATTTATCTGTCTTCCTTTCAAAATCCTTTTTCCATTGTTTATTCTAATCTTGTTTTCTCTCTCTCGCTCTGATATGCAAGATCTATTTAAATCAAACTGATCTCATAGTTCCAGAAACATTCTTGTCCTGTTGGCATCTTTATGCTTTTCTTTGCTCAGAGTTTTCTTTATCCTTGAAATTGACTGCCCCCTTCTTTGTTTCTGCTCTTGCTTCTACTCCAAAGTCTTCTGTGATTGTTCTGGTCTTCATGGTTATTTTGGAATTCCTCAGCACTTAGTCCATCCTATACAGTATGCGTTATTTGATATATGTTGATCTTGCTTCTCTACCTAGATTGTGATAATCTTGATGGCAAAAACCATGTGATATCGAATCTCCTATTATATCTGGCATAGGACAGCATAATAATAATTGTCTTACATTTATCCAGTCCTTAATAATTTACAAAGTATTTTCATAAAACTGTCTTCTGATGTTGAAAAGGGAGGTATTAATCTTATTTTACAAAAGAAGAAATTAAGGCTTTCAATTCCTTACTATACACTATACTACATTGGTTGTGGTGTTGAAGCTAGAGTTCAATCTCTGGTATTTGACTCTTATAGTATTCTGTAGAAGGTAGCCAGTAAGTGTTGATTAATAGCACTACCAGGATATAGTGATACTATATTGTCTGTTAACAGTTCGCCCAAACCTGAAGAATGTCAACAATGTCCTTTAAAACTTTCTTATTTTGTTTTATTGGTCTATGTCTTTATGGCAATATATGCAGCTGATTTTAAATGTCAAATGCTTTTTTCCCCCCAGTTTCAAAAATGTGTTTGTGTTTCGATATTAGGTATGCCTCCCTATGACACATTTGCTCCTGCGGCTGTTATGTATCAGGGATGGTCTTTGGAAGACCCCAACTCTCCATACTCAGAGTCTTTTGTCTCCCCAGAGGCCATTACAGAACCTCTCCAGCTGACAGCAGGTAAATTATTAAAACCCCCTTTATCAGTTAGTATTCGCACTATTAATAAAAGTATAAATCAGATGTATTGTTTAGCAGCTTTCATCAGGTAAAGATAACAGTTTCAGAGCTATCACTAATATCTTTATTTATGTATATTAGTGAGGTCATAACTGGAGGAACAAAACCATAGTTGAAATACAGGACTTGGGGTTAATGGGCAAAGAAGATTTTATTTATTTATTTATTTATTTTTGAGTCAGAGTCTCACTCTGTTGCCCAGGCTGGAGTGCAGTGGCATGCTCATAGCCACCACAGTCTGCACCTACTGTGCTCAGGTGATCCTTCTGCCTCAGTCTTCCAAGTAGCTGGAACCATAGGCGCATGCCACCGTGCCTGGCTAATTTTTTCTTTCTTTCTTTTTTTTTAACTTATTGTAGAGACAAGGTCTCGCCAAGTGGCCCAGGCTGATCTCGAACCTCTGGGCTCAGGCAGTCCTCTCTCCTCTGCCTCCCAACGTGCTGGGATTGCAGGTATGAGCCACTGCGCCCAGTAGAAAATTTTATTTTAATTCAGTATAGATTTAGAACTCTGAATTTTGTTTTGTTTGAGTCAGAGTCTCACTCTGTCACACAGGCTGGAGTACAGTGGCTCGCTCATAGCCACCGCAACCTCAACTTGCTGGGCTCAGATGATCCTTCTGCCTCTGCCTTCCAAGTAGCTGGAACTATAGGCATGCACCACCACACCCTGCTAATTTTTTGATTTATTGTAGTGACAAGGTCTCACCAAGTTGCTGAGGCTTGCAGTCCTTGTTTCTGCCTCCCAAAGTGTTGGGATTACCAGCGTGGGCCACCGCACCTGTTTTTCTTTTTATTTATTTATTTATTTGTTTGTTTTTTTAAATATGTGAGGTACAATTCAGGTTAAGTATACAAATGGTCATTGTAGAGGTAAAGTTTGGGCCTCGCCTTGGTTCCCTCTTCACCTGGTTTGAGATCAGGTACCTTTATTAATAAGGTGTGCCCCCCACCCCCACCCCCCGGGAAGTTTCCCACTACTGCCAATCCCTTTCTTATAGTATTATGAAAATTTGAGAGTTTTTTTGATAGAAAAGATGACTGACCTGCATTTCCACAGGTTCCCTTTATTAGAAAGGTACTCATTCTGTACCTATGTTATTTTTTTAAGCTTATGTTTTCTCTCTCTTTTGCCTTTCCTCCTTTGCTACTTGTCCTCGCAGTGTCTCCTATCTTATTTTTTTAAGGGTTGGGACTGTCAAAGAGTAGGCAGGATACGTGAACTTGACAGCTTCTTAGTTATGTAAAGAGCCTTATGGTCACAAAAGTCAAATACTCCTGTGCCCTAAGAAAGTAAGTTTTGAATGCAGACATATGAGAAGACAGTGATGGGTCCTAAATGTCCAACTTATTTTTCTTAGATCTGGCCAAGGAAGTCGACATTACATCAGAAGAAGAGGGGCCACCAACACAAACATCGGAAATAATGATGGGATTGAAGACTACTGACATGGTACCATCTAGAGAAACAGAGGTGGCCCTCACCAAGGACATGGCACCAGCCACCAAAATAGACACGGCATTAGCTGAAGTTATGGAGCCATTCACCAAATTCGATGTGACACTGGAAAAGGACATGCAGCCATCCATGGAATCAGATAAGTCCCTAGTCAAGGACACAGTACTACCCACAGAAACAGAGTTGGCCCCAGTTAAGGATGCCACATGGCCCATAGAAACAGATGTGTCTTCAGCCAAGAATGTGGTCCTACCTATAGAAACAGAGGTAGCACCATCCAAAGATGTGACACTGTTCAATGAAACAGAGAAGGTATCACCTATAAAAATGGTGTTGGCCACACCTGAGGACATGGTGCCACCTAAAGAAAGAGAGATAGCTGCACCCAAGGGTGTGGTATCACTCTCAGAAATAGAGATGGCACTGAGTAAGGACATTGTATCATCCACAGAAATATCCTCAGCCAAGGAGGTGGCCCTGTCCTCGAAGACAGAGGTAGTCCAGGCCAGGGACATGACACTGCTTCCAGAAGCAGAGGTGACCCCAATCAAAGACATGGCTCAACTCCCAGAAACAGGAATGATCCTAGGCAAGGATATGGCTCTGTCCGCAGAAAAAGAGGTGGCCTTGTTCAAGGACATGACTCCACCCTCAGAAACAGAAATGACTCTGAGCAAGGATGTGCCTCCATCCCCCAAAACAGAGATGACCCAGGCCAAGGATGCAACTTCACCCCCACAAACAGAAGTAGCCCCCATCAAGGACATATGTCTGCCTCCAACAGAGGTGGCCCTGGCTAAGGATATGGCTCTGCTTCCTGGAAACGAGGTGACCCCCATCAACAGTGTGACTCCAGCCAAGGATGTTGCACCACGCTCAGAAACAGTGGTGGCACCAGTACCAGTTAAAGACATGAAAATTGCACAGACACAGAAAGGAATAAGTGATGATTCCCATTTAGAATCGCCCCAGGATGAGAAGCAGTCAGCTGCATCTGCTTTCACTATTTCACCAGGTATGAGCTTATTGGTTACTCATAGTATTTCTGTTCACCAACGTGTAGTCTCCAGAAAACTAAGTATACTAATATAACATATAAGTATATTACCTTATATATTGCCTTATATTACCTGGCATGATGTTTGGCAATATATAAGGTAATATACTTTGCAACTTTATTCATATTCCTACTCTCCTGGACAACTCTTTCTCACCTTTACCCCCTCTATCCTCCAACACCTTGTCTATCCTCATTCTCTGTGGATGTTCCTGTTTTTCTTCTAGATAATTGATGCAGTAAAATGGAACATCCACAAACTCCCATTACCTTATCTGCCCAACTACTTCTGTCTGTGTCCGTAGTCTCTGCCTTCTTTCCTGTTTTAATGTAAACTATTCCTGCTCCTGATTAAGGCCAGCCTCTCCTCCCATTTTATAGTCGATCCCATTTCCTCTTTCCTTCTTAGGTATATTGCCCCACTTTTTCTCCCTTTTTTGCTTCTCACCAATTTAATTTCTTTCCAGTGGATCATTCCCACCAACTTATAAACATTTGTTATTTTTTTTCCTCATCTTTGTTTTTGTTTTTGCTTTTTTTATAATCAATATTTTTTATTATGATATTGTGGGGTACAGTTAAGGGTTAGGTATACAAATACGCTTCATTCAAGCACCCTTGTTGATAAGAGGTGTTTCCCCATCCCCAGAAACATATTTACTACCGTTAATCCCATCTCTCCCCCCCCTGCATAGTTTCCCACCACTGTCAGTCATTTTCTTATAGTAGTACGTTGGATATTCAAGGTCCACTATGAGTGAGAACATATGATACTCAGATCTTTCCTCATCTTTAAAACAAAACAAAACTGTCTAAAATCTACCTTCCAGTTACTACTCCACTTCTCTGCTGCCTCTTATAGGAGAATTTCTCAAAAACTATTTTCATCTCTAATTTTCGTCAGCTGGGAAAATAGCTGAAGTAGTGCTTCTCTGAAACTTGTATGGTTTTTATTATTATCTTTAGAACCATTCACAAGCACAGACCAAAAGTTCAACTTGCCAACAGATGAAGCTTCTGTGTTAGAAAAACTGGAGCAAAAGAAACCATTCAGCAGTCAGCCTTCTGAACTTTTTTCAGAGACCTCAGGTAAGTTAAACAAAATAGACTCTTGGAAACAACTTCAATTAGGAGCGATGGAGTGAGGATGGTGGACATTGTCTCTAGTTCCCTGGTTATATGGTGGTAATCCGCAGCATAATTTATCAAGTCAGTTTTCTTTCTTAGAGCTTTAATATTCTTTGAAATCAATTCATTGAATCATATTTGACAGGAGCTGGCATAGGCCTACTCTTAGAGACTCTTTCCATCTTGGATACATATTGTTTTGACTTGAAGGCAGGAGGTTGGACCACACAACCTAATGAAACTTGTCCAAATGCGCTCATCCTAATTGTTGAAATGCATTAACCTACTTGTGTATATTTCTCTGTCTTTTGGGAAGTACCTTTAGGAGCCAAAGTTGAAATTTAACACATTTGTCTTTCAAAGTAGTATACTCCACTTCTGGAATAATGAGAATTTTTCTCTGACCAAAATGTGAATTTAGATGGGTTTATTGTTTTGTTTTTGTTTTTTTGAAGTGGTATAAGTCTGGCCTTCTGGTGTAGTTCTCAGAATCAATCTGGTGTAGTTCTCAGAATCAATCAGTAATAGTATATTGGTGACTGACTCTTATAATTGTAAATTCTGTCCAAAATCATGTATATTTAATTCAAGCAATTAATAAATGTTACCAAAGAGAGACAGCACTGATATGACAAGTATAAATCAGATGAGATTTATAGGCAGTAAGTGCTTATTATAGAAATTAGATTTGAGCCGGGCTCGGTGGCTCAGCCTGTAATCCCACGCTTTGGGAGGCTGAGGTGAGTGGATGGCCTGAGCCCGCGGGTTCGAGA